ACTTGTGATGAAGGGGAAAATCACTATAGGTTTCTTTTCTTTTTCTTTATTTTATTCTAATAGTAAAGTTTATTTTGTGTTTTTTCTATTTTTTTTTTACTTTCTATTTTTTCTTTTTATTCTTTTTTTTAGTTTGTGCTAGTTTTTAATGCTGAAAATCTGTAATAAATTTATTTATAATGTGAAACCAAAATGTGAAAGTAGTATATTCTTACCTTATATAATTTATATACAGAAATGCTGGACTAGAAATGGAAGTTGGAATTAAAATTGTATTTCAGGTCTGCCAATGATATCTTTATAAATATCGCTCTTACTTTGCTGGCTAGAAGCGAGGAAGACTTAAAGAATGTCACTGTTGAATGTTGAGAGTGCCAAAGCCAATCATTATTTTTTTTAAAAAAGAACTCTATCTGACAAGTGCAAATACCAATCTGGTAAAAATAGGTGAAGAAGTATTTTTTTGGCTCCAAACCCCACAGGAATAGTAACCATTAAATAATATGCTTCTTGAGAGAAAGACTGACCTCCGAGGTCCCTTCCAACTTTATTATTATTATTATTATTATTATTATTATTATTATTATTATTATTATTATTATTATTATTATTATTATTATTATTATTATTATTATTATTATTATTATTATTATTATTATTATTATTATAGTAAAGAGACTTTCAATTGCCATTGAAGGCAAATATTGTCAATGCCATCTTCTTCTCAGCCATAACATATGGCTGTGAAAGCTGACCACAGAAAGGCTAAAGAAGGAAAATGACTGGATTCTGGTGCTAAATAGTATTTTGGATAGCAAGTGCAAATAATTCAACACTGAAATAAAAACAGCTTATATGAAGGATGACTAAATAAAATATTTTGGACGCATAATGTGGAAGCAAGACTTTTTGGAGAAGATGCTTGGAATGGTTGGAAAAATCAAAATCAGTTGAAAAAAAGACTGGCAAAAACCCCCCTAAGATGGTTAGATAGTATCACTGATTTCACAGGCAGGAGTTTACAAGAATTCAAAAAAGCCATTATTGGCAGCCCTGGTTTATTCCATCCCAAATAGAAGCTATTAAACAAAAAAATTCTCACAAATTGTCTATTGTTATGTATATTTAAAACTAGAAACATGGATCACCAAGATTAAAACATTTTTAGTCTTGGTGATCCGTGTTTCTAGTTTTAAATATGAATATACCCGAGACTCAGATTTCCAGGACTATTTTAGATTGTTATGTATACATCCAAACTAGACTGTGTTGTTTCTCTGGGTCATATATGTGTATTATTATTATTATTATTATTATTATTATTATTATTATTATTATTATCATCATCATCATCATCATCATCATCATCATCATCATCATCATCATCATCATCATCATTATTGTATATTGGAGGTGATTACCCTTTGAGAGTTGTATGTAATAGAATCTCATTTTAATATATTTAATATATTAATGTATATTTAAAGTGACAACAAAGTTATAATTCTATTCTATTAAATGAAGTAATAACTATGGTATCTGCAATCTAGACAATCCCATTGTATAGGGAAATAGAATAATTTTAATTTGTCAATGGAAAGTATTTCTTTTTATTTAATGGATGCTTAAATAAGGAGTGGAAGATTTTTGAGGCTTAACCAAAGAATATCAGTGTATAGGAAATCTTGAAATTAAAATGATGTTATCTTTATATTTCTTTTTGTGATGTAAGCAACAAATAGACCTCTTTGATAGTAAAGCAATTGATTAAATTTTCACTAGAACTTTAACCACTGCACTTGAAAACCTGTTTACTTTAATGGTGTTTAAAAATTACAGTTAAATATTATCTTAAGGATGGGCATACCTATAAAAGATGATATCTTTAATTTGCAGATAAGCACCAATAAATAGTTACTACACCTACTACACCTTGTCTTTGGACTAGGCATGAGCAGGTACTTTGTTCTTTCTCCATGGAATATCAGTGCAACTGAAGTTTGCTTTGTTCTTAGCCAAGGCTTTTTTTCTGATAGAACACCCAGAATGGAGTTCCGGCACCTTTTTTGGATGGAACCTTGTAGGGTAGGCAAGGCGGGTTGCATGACATGTGTGAGTTCCGGCACCTTTTTTTTTTTTACAAAAAAAAGCACTGTTCTTAGCACCGTAGGAGGTAGAAAGAACTAAATATTCCACCTGCCACTGTTGGTTTGTAAGCAGTGTGTGATTACATCTATTTAAACAAGTCTTAACTACTTCCTTTAGAACTGTCTCTGCTTATTGGGCAGTGGCTATAAGCTCCTTAAAAGGTCCCAGGAGCGTCCTCTCCTACAATGAAAAGTTTATCGCTGCCTGAGCCCACCTGTTAGATACCATCCTGGAGGTTTTTCCCAATCAGGAGGGATGTGGATCTAATTCACAGATGGTTGCACTGACTTCTTCCTTAGAGATTTGGATTCACTGATTTCTGTTGCTTTTATCCATTTGCAGGTATACAGGTGCCTATATATTTGCTCCACACATGCACTATTTCTGTCTCAAAGCAATAAACACATAAAAATGTAAAGAAGGACTATGTCAAAAAGGAGCAAAACAGGATTGTGTTGTGTTCTCTTGAGTGCAGAACAAGTGAAGGTCCCCTTCCCTCAATCCCAGTCCAAGGGGTAACAAATAGCATACTCATGAGACTGTGATATCAAGTACATCTTTATAGTCATCTATGCAGAATGATTGGACATTTGGAAACAGTTGGGGATGATAATAACTCACAGATAGGGTGGCACTACCCGAGACTGACCGGTCCAGAACATAAGGGTGAACTAATGCCTCCTGCTTGAAGAGCAGGTGGCGCTTATGGCTAGGAAAGCCTTTACACAACTTCAGGTTGTGTATCATTTGCGGCTTCTCCTGGATCAGGAGTCCCTGCACTCAGTCATTCAAGCTCTGGTCATCTCATGCTTGGATTACTAAAATGCGCTCTACATGGGGCTACCCTGGAAGAGCATTCGGAAGCTTCAACTGCTGCAGAGTATGGCAGCAAGGGCAGTCTTAAGTGTGAGCCCATGTTACACCACTGTCCCAGAGCTGCACTGATTACTGGTTTGCTTCTGGGTGCAATTCAAGGTGTTGGTTATTACCTATAAAGCCCTGTATGGCATATGGGTCCAGGTTACTTGAAGAGCTATCTCACACCTATGGGACAGACCCGCCCCACCCGTGCCAGCAGAGAAGGCAAACTGCAGATCCCATCAGTCAAGGAATTCCAGCTGAGGAAGTCCAGGAGAAGACCCTTCTCTGCCATCGCCCCGGCCCTTTGAAACATTTTGCCCCGAGATGAGATTGGTTCCTGCTCTCCTGACCTTCCACAAGAGCCTGAACACCTGGCTTTAGCCAGTTGACTTGGAGCCCCAGTGGGGGAATGTCATACTGGAGATGCTCTATGGCAGGGGTCTTCAAACTTGGCCCTTTTATGACTTGTGGACTTCAATTCCCAGAATTCCTCAGCCAAGTCATAAAAGGGCCAAGTTTGAAGACCTCTGGTCTATGGTTTCACCTCCCCCCCATATATTCTCCTTCCTTCCTCCCCATCTTTAGTTATAACTTGTAATTTATTGTACTTTTAATGTGACTTTATATATTTATTCATATATTTATTATTTCATTTTAATGTTGTAAGTCTCCCAGAGTTGCCTTATGATGACATGGGTGGCAAACAAATTTAATAAACAAATAAATTAAAAAGAAAAAAGAGAAATGAATGAACTTGGTGATAATCAAAAAAGACTGAACACAAATAAGCTCTATGTTGCTAGTGAATGGTTGATTGTAACTAAAACATATATTATGGGGGCATAATGTTTGCATCTAATTCCCCATATTTCTTTTACAAAGGTTTAAGCACATATAGAAAGAAAAAAAGGGGAGTATAACATCTAAACTTATAGATTTTTAAACCAAAAATCATTGTGATATACACAAAATAGCTTCCCAAACATATTTGTAGAGAAATGGTACATTTAGAATTGGGGAAATGTTATGCATCTCTTCAGACTTGGTTTAATGTCAAGGTGCCAACAGACAGAGACAAATAAAACAGAGACATTCTAGAGAAACCGTCCTCAAACTGGTATCCATCATAGTTGCTGGAATAAAATTCTCCATCATTATCAATTTTCTTGGCCATGTTGGATGGGTAAGGATGAAGAGTTATAACTTAGCATGTCTGCAGAAACTTCCTTGGGATAATGAAGAGAAGACAATTACAATATATTTAGAACTGTTTGCTTTGATTTGAAAATGTATACAGAATGTCAGAATATCACTTTTCTTACAAATTATTATGGAGAAAGCAATCTACACAAGGCAAGAGGTCCAATGAACAGCACTAAAAGGCATAAGGTCAAAGCAAATTGAAAATGATTTGAAAAATCTCACTCGGTTTAAACCAGAGAACCAGTTGGTTAAGTCACCAGGCTAGAAACCAGGAGACTGACCTTCAGCTCAAAGCCAGCTGGCTCACCCCTAGGAAGCCACTTCCAAAAATCTTGCCAAAAAAATCCTGCGTGCATGTCCAGGGAAATTGTCCAAACTGATCTACAGTCATGTATGCATGCACACAAACAATGTAAACAATGCAGACCCAGCCTTCAGTTGGAAAACATAATATATCATTGTAAGAAATATCTGTAGTCCAATAGCACCCACACCAATGTACTGGCTCCAAAGTCAGCCACACCCAGACACTCATTAAGAGAACAAAGAAGAAAGAAAAATATTGTTCCTGATGCAAATCCATTCATAAGAATTCCCATTTCTTCATTCCTGTTGCAATAATTTATTGTTAGCAAAATTAAAATGTCAGCAATGTGTTTAATTTACTTGTTTTTATACTCATAATTCACAAAGATGATGCAAAAGAACTATGTTTAGAAGTTGATGTATATTAAAAACTCGTGTTGGTTGAATAAAAGTAAACATCTGTCTGCTTTTCTTTTTTTCAGGATCGAAGGCGAATGTTTGAGAACAATCTAGTAAAGAAAGGTCTGGAACTAGAAACTGAAGATAAGAAGGTAGCAATTACTGTGGTTTGTTACTGATTAAAATCACTATGATTAAAAGTATTGGGGAAATGAAAATCTCTAGAAACAGCTGGCAGTGGGATCGTTGCTTCCTGAACACCATGTTTAATTTGTTTGTTTATACTAACGTCATTGTAGATAAAACCTGGTAATCAGAAAACAATACAAGTTTCTCTCTGAAGCAACTGTAGTACATAAGGGTACTTTCCACAATTGATTTGTGTCTTTTACAAATGCATTACTATTCTGTCCTTCTACTTTTTGTTGTTGTTAATGGGAGATTGCTCCATTTTATATCATACTTTTATGTCTATCCCAGGTAACAGATAATTCCATGCAGGTTGCAACTGATTGTAGGTATTTTTTTCCTGGATGAAATTCTGCCCATTTACCATCAGGTGATATTGCTAATATCTCAAAGAAATAGGAATAACTAAAAACATAACCAGCAACTGCATGGACAAAAACGGTTTGAACATAAAGAGAAGAAGTGGAATGTTGAACCCTTACTATGTTTCAAAAACTGGCATTTTTTAATGTTTTCTGGCTTTTGTCTTGAAGGATGGAAAGCTGATAATTGAGAATAATCTAACATGTTGATAACATACCATGTATCAGTATTTTTTCCCCCAAATAACTGGCTCTGAAATTATGTTCAGATTATGGATTCAATCAAAAGAAAATATCCACATGAAAATATATTTCCTAGGGTCTTAGTCAATACTCATCAGGATAGCTGAAAATTATTTTCCTCCATTTTCCATAATTCTAATGAAATTAGTGATAACTAATTTAAATCTTAGTCATTTAAGTGTGACTAACTTTTTCTGCCTCAGATTCTAAAACAGATACTACTAAAGTACAACGAAGTGAATGGCAAACCTAGAGATGATTTTTTACAAATGTTTCAGAAGCCACTTTTACCCCATTAGGATTGAGGTGTCCTTGTTTCCTATATGTGTATTTTATGGGCATACACTTAAAAGCCACAGGAGGACTTCAGCACTAATAATAATAAATAATAATAAACCCTTTATTATCAAAGAATAACATGTATACAGTAAAATTGGCTGAGCCTCCCTCTGTGTCCCCCCTCACCACAAACTCACAGTGACTACAAACCCGACTAGTTGTCTGAGCATTTTTATTTTCAATCCCAAAATGTTTTAGATCGCCCTACCTCCCCCCCCCCCTAAAAAAAAAGATTTCAGACTGGCTGTTCCAGGGATTGTTCGTTTTGGACTCTTTCTAAAATGCTGCAAACCTCATCCAAGTATGGATGAATCACCCTAGAAGAATAGCAAGAACAGTGCATGTTGGGAGAAAAATAGAGCCTTGTGAATGCTGGAAATATTCAGAGGATTTTGTCCTTCCTGATTATACATAGGGATAAAAAGGGTAGATGTCCAACTTCTTAGACTTTGTAGCCATCACCATACCTTTGGAGGACAAATTGCGTAGTTTACAAATAAGCCTTTATCATTTCATTTGCAGGAATCTGAAAATGGCAAAACGTATTTTGTGAAGATTCACGCCCCCTGGGAAATTCTGATCACTTATGCAGAAGTGCTAAACATCAAAATGCCCATCAAGGAGAATGATATTCCCTGTATGGTGGAGAACCCATTGGACTGCATATTCTGGCCATTTAGGCTACCTGAGATTGTGATGCACCCTGAACCGGACTACTTTACAGCACCATTTAGCAAAGAAAGACAGGAATTGTACCTCATTGAGGATGAGAATATGTTTTTCTCACCATCCGTCAGAAACAGAATAGTGAGTACTTCATTTACCAGTTCAGTGACCGTGCAATACAACAAGCCAATTTGTGGCTTAGATGGGAACGTGCTGCCTAGCACAACATGCCTGGCTGTCAAATTGTCCTAAATTATCCGACAATTAGTGTTGTTGACTTGTGGTAGGCTGGTTGGTTGGTTGGTTTTGCCGTACAGAATCAATTGAGAAAAAGCTCCCTGAGCATAAAGCAGCATATGCTTTCTTTTCCTTGGTTATTCTAGCCAGAAAGGGCCTTTCCTTTCTATTTAGATGACATGACTCACTCTGAATTACAGTACAAAGGATGACTCAGCAATTGCAGAAGGCCCAAATATGGGAGAAATCTGCAGGGTCAAGCAAAGGCTTCTCAACCAAATGCCTGGCTTACTGTGTTGCCAAAACACTTGCCATAGCTTCTAGACTTGCTGATGTAGCCAGATCGTTGGTTTTTTTTTACAAAGATGGTGCTCTTTGCCAATATTACTGGTTCATTTCATGGAGGTGTTTCCTGTCTTTCCTCATTATTGGAATGGGCCTTCAGAAGTGTGTGGAGGAGCATTGTTTCTCCAAGCATCTTCAAAGGAGGAAGCATCATCAAACAAACCAGCTCTTTGAAAGTTTGCACAGTCGTAACAGGCACACAACTTCACATGGTCAAATGAATACAGGTAGTCCTCGATTTACAACAGTTCACTTAGTGACCATTCAAAGTTACAAAGGCACTGAAAAAAGACTGTTTTTCACATGACCATTAGAGCTTCCCCGTGGTCCCATGATCAAAATTCATACGCTTGGCAACTAACTCATATTCATGACGGTTGCAATGTACTGGGTCATTGCAACCTTTTGCGACCTTCTGATCTTTCAGTGGGGAAGAAAGGTTCACTTAACAGCCACGTTACTAACTTAACAACTGCAGCAATTCACTTAACAAACATGGCAAGAAAGGTCGTAAAGTGGGGCAAAATTCACTTGACAAATGTCATGCTTAACAACATAAATGTTGGGCTCAATTGTAGTTGTAAGTTGAGGACTACCTGTATATCCCTAGTAGGAAAGTCACACTGTTTTTTCTACTTCTTCAGAAAGATATTGAAAAACATAAGGTGGTAGGGTTGCTATTCAATTGTTTAGGTTCCTAACTGGAAGACTGAAACAGCAAAAGTAATAACATTCCCGCAAGCCAACATTTATCCTAGGCCAGGGAAAACTTGCTTCCTCTGTAAACTGTAAGAAGAAAGGGCCTCAAAATTTAATGACATAATTACTGTAGTATAATTAACCAATCAAAATTAACATGTTAAATTTCACCAGAGTACGAAGAAAAGTTTTAAATTCTCATAGTTTACATAATATGGCAATAATTTTAAATTTAAAAATTTTAAAGTTCTTTCCCCCTCTCTTCTAGGTTTTTTATATTTTAACAAGGTGCCAATATGGAACAGAAGAAGGGAAGAAGAAGTTTGGAATCAAAAGACTTCTAAATAATGGCACCTACTCTTCTGCTTACCCTCTTCATGATGTAGGCATTTTAGTCATTCATTCATTTGCCTATTTTCTGAAGGAAACCTGTCTTTCTCTGTAGATTATATTTGGATACGTCTGTCTTTGCCTTCTAATAGGCCAGTATCTATGTTTTTTGTAATTGTGAATATTATTATGTAATTGTGTGAATGCATATATGTATGCTAAAGTACCTCAGAAAAAGTGAAATCGGGAGGAGATAAAGAACAATATCCACTTATAATTGTAGAATGAAGTAATGACAAGAGCATTAGAGGTTTTAGAGATTAGTGTTATATTGCCCTCTGGTGGCAAGCAATGAACGCTTACTGGAGGGATTTGTATTTTCCGTGTGTGTGTGTGTATGTATATGCACATGCATACACACATACATATAATTTAGCTTGGAGAACAGTCTTATTAATTATGATATTCTCCCAGAAAAGTTGAAAAGGAATTATTACCTACATTGATTATTCAGAATCACTTAACTCTATATTTAAGATGAAGAAAGTCTCTCTAAATTTCATATTAAATAACAAATACATAAACATTTCTCATGCTATATGAATAGCTGAATGTTGCTTCTCTCCACAACTTTATATTTACATAGATGTATATCATTTTCTTTCTCTGTTGTATGCTCTCTTTTCTTTTCTTATCTATTTTTATTTCCATTTGTCTGTCTTTCTTTCTGAATCACATGGTCTGCATTGAGCTGCAATATAGATCTATAAATAAATAAATACATTCTATTTCTGTATGAACGTGGAGATGTCTCTCTGTTAAACATAGAACCACCCATAGATTTATTTTGTATATTACAATAGTATTGTTGGAGAAATCATGTTGCTATCTGCTGATTTATTTTGTTTCTTCTTTATTTTTTTCATGCTGATTCAGTGTCAGTACTGGAAGAAGTCAAATGATCCAAAGTGTGAAAATGAAAGATATACCTTACATAGGGAATGGGCCCGGTTTCCTAGGTTTTACAAGGAACAGCCCTTGGATCTTATCAGGTAAATGATTTCCCTGATATATTAATAGCCGTTGGGCCTTTCAGAAATATAGCAATAGCACTTAGACTTATATACCGCTCCACCGTGCTTTATAGCAGTCTCTGAGCAGTTTACAGAGTCAGCATTTTGTCCCCAACAATCGGGGGGCAAATCCCATTTTACCGACCTTGGAAAGATGGAAGGCTGAGTCAACCTTCAGTCAATCAGGATCAAACTCCTGCCTGTGGCAGAGTCAGCCTGCAATACAACATTTTAACCACTGTGCTGCCAGGGCTTTAATACATGCTATATTACATGCCTGTATTTCTTTTTATAAACAATATCTTTATATGTGGAATATAATATAAAAAACAAGCAGTATATGCTTGGAAAATAATTGGAAGACATGCTTTTGGCCATATATGAGCACAGCACCTTTTTGTCTATCTCTTTCCCTAGCTTCCACACAAGTCTGAAAAAAAACCACCCTTCAGTTGCTTTAAGAGTAATACAGAACAGTATGGCTGGAGAATTCAGGGAGTTGAAGTCTACATATCTTAAATTTGCCAAGGTTGAGGAACAAATACAGAGTTAACACCTTAAAGCAATTCCATATTTTTTCACTCTAAGATAGAAGTCTAAAAAAAAATAGCTACTTTAATAGATATCGAAGAGTTGCTGTGTTGCCATTTTTTCAAAACATTTTGAAGCAGGCAGAGTCCTAATATAAAAGACCAAGAAAATGCAGAGTAAAATAGTTAGAAGAACTGGTTTGATAATAAGTCAAGAATGAGAATGAGAATATTCAGGGGTGAATAAGCTGAGGATTATTTTACAGTATGTTCCGTTGAGGTATATCTTAGAATATTATATCCAAATTTTGCCCTTTATTGTTATTTTAAGCTTTGCCTTTGTTTTTCTTGGATTATTTTCTTGCAGGAAATATTATGGAGAGAAGATTGGAATCTATTTTGCCTGGCTGGGTTTTTATACTGAGATGCTGTTCTTTGCAGCTGTTGTTGGCTTCATTTGTTTTCTGTATGGTTTGTTCACAATGAATGAAAATATGAGCAGGTAAGTATAATTGACAAAGCAACATTAGTTAAGTTATGTTGATCAGTTAATGATGTTTTATTTCTTACTTTCTTTTTTTAAGATAGATGATTTTAGATAAGGATTCTGGCCTAACCTGATGAGCTGATTTGCATATACTATATTTCAACATAAATCTAATATCCAGTGGCAGAAACTGTAACCTAAGCCATAATAATGGCTTGGATATAGTTTCTTACCATGTATTGAAAGACAGAGGTTAATTCTGAATGTATACAAGCACTATTATCCCTTAAATATGTTTTATTAAATACACCACATCTTTATCCTCTTTAGCAAAGAAATATGTCATCCTAGTATTGGTGGTGAAATTATCATGTGTCCATTATGTGATCGAAATTGCGATTACTGGAGATTGAATTCTACTTGTGAGTCTTCACAGGTTCGTAACACTTACAGCATTAGTATTTTCAAAAATACACACTCTTTCATGTGTTACTCAATGGACAATGCCTGTTTTTCAATTCTAGTATTCCCATTTGTTTGACAATGTGGCAACCCTCTTTTTTGCAATATTTATGGGCATCTGGGGTAAGTACACTTGTTTTATTGTTAATGTTTTCAGAATTAATTTTAAGGAGTTGGGAGTTATTTATTCAGAGATGATTTTATGTTTTGATTTGTACACTTCTCACATTTAAATGGTGTTACAGAAATTCCACAAAATAAATAAAGAGATATGTAAATAATCTGTGCTCGATCAGATTCCATTCCATTTATAGAAAAGCTGTTCAGGATACAAAGCTTTGTTGTACTACTGTGACAAATTTTAAACATTATTGATCTGAAAGAAAACTGGAAAATTGAATTAAACCACCGTTGTCAGTTGACTGATAGGGACAAAGTTTCAGGCATGGTATTCTTTCCTTTATGCTGAACATCTATAATATCACAGTCTTTCCCTAAATATGTTTATTAACTGAAATTCAGTGAATTAGATGAATAAAAGTTTAGTTGTGCTTTAATGCAACTGGTTAATCCTGACCAGCTGAGATCCTGTTGATATAATAATATCAACATTTATAATAAAAAATAATCATTTCTATAAGATAATTAATAAACTTTTTTGTAAATAAATGTTTGTATAAGTAATTACTACTTCTGGATTGCCTCCAGAAGTTGTGGGTGTTCCATCACTGGAGGTTTTAAGAATAGATTGGACAGCCATTTGTTCAGAATAGTATAGGGCAGTGGTGGTGAACCTATGGCATACGTGCCAGAGAGGGCACTTGAAGCCCTCTCTGTGGGCACGCACGCCTCGCTCTTTGGCTAAGTTTTTGCAGGAAAAAGTCATTTCTCAAGACTCTTCCTAGCCAAAACAAGCCTCCGGAGCGAGCACACTGTTTTCAGCGTTGAATTATATCAAATATGACACCAAAAACAGACTAACAGATGACCTGAGTGCTGCATGTGTTGCTCTCAAACTTACAAAGTATAAGCCAAGGTTAGACAAATTATCAGCATGCATACAATCACAAAAATCACATTAATTGTTCAAAAGCATGCCAAATGTAAACGTTTACCTTTCAGTAAAAAGTTGTTTGTGTCATTGAAAGCTTTGTTATTGTGTTTTTCTTTTAAGACAAAAGATGTTAATGTATGAGTTGTTTTTTCAAAACTAAAACCTCAGTATTCAGATTAAATTGCCGTGTTGGCACTTTGCAATAAATAAGTGGGTTTTGGGTTGCAGTTTGGGCACTCGGTCTCTTTTCGCCATCACTGGTATAGGGTCTCCTGCTTGAACAGGGGGTCGGACTAGATGACCTCCAAGATCTCTTCCAACTCTGTTATTCTGTTATTATGTTACTAAAATAGTAAATACTATTTCAGATTAAGGTTTTATGTTTAGCTAATTCTATGTTGCCTAACCCTCTCTGATTGTAGTTACACTTTTCTTGGAATTTTGGAAGCGAAGACAAGCTCGACTTGAATATGAGTGGGATTTAGTTGATTTTGAGGAAGAACAGCAGCAACTCCAACTTAGACCAGAGTATGAAGCAAAATGTACACAGAAGAGGAAGAATCCAGTAACTCAGGTAATTTTGTTACGCTTACTTAGAAAATAAAAAAACATTTGCAGGTTGTGAAATTAATAAGATTTAGGTAGCTTTTTTGGAGAACCCTTAGGTGAGCATGCTCTCAAGACCTACTATGCAACCGTGTTTCCCCGAAAGTAAGGCCTATACCAGGGGTAGGCAACCTCGGCTCTTTTATGACTCATGGACTTCAACTCCCAGAATTCCTGAGTCAGCTTAGCTGACTCAGGAATTCTGGGAGTTGAAGTCCATGAGTCATAAAAGAGCCAAGGTTGCCTATACCAACAATAAGTCCTAGCTTGATTTTGGGGGGTGAGCCTAATATAAGACCTATCCCCAAAATAAGCCCTAGTTTTGGGGTGAGGCACACACCTAAAAATCAAGCTAGGATGGAGGAGGGGGGTGGAGTTGCGCCACCCACCCCACACCCATTTACCTTGCAGCCAGGCCTCTCCTTGCTAACCCACTTCTTCTGAGGCCTCTTCTGCAGCCAGGCCTGCATTTCTCAGTCACAGGGCTTTCCTGAAGGCCTGTGCAGCCAAGAACTGAGCTATGATTGAATCCATAGCTCGGTTCTGCAAGACTTCAGCAGCCGAGGACCAAGCTATGGGTCCATAGGTCGGTACTCGGCTGTTTAGGCCTTCTGGAAAGGCCTGACTGCAAAATGCAGGCCCATAATGCAGCTACAGAACTTCGGCCCCGGAAGACGTGGACCAGCTGGGTGGGGCTGTCGGTGCTGGAGGTGAGGTAAGGCCTACCCTGAAAATAAGACCCCGTGCCTCTTTTGAAGGCAAAAACAAAAAAAAGCCCCGGTCTTATTTTTGGGGAAACAACGGTAGTTCAGTTTAATATTAATTCAGTTTAATATTCAGTTTAATAGGAATACACATTTGTTCCAGAATATGATAGACATGTAATGCTTTGACAGGTTTTACAATTATATAGTTGTTAAAATGCAAGTTCATTTTAAACATCAGCACTTAGGTTATTGTCTGAGACTCTGATAACGGGGTACCCGGATTTATCAGGCTTTTCCCATAGGTGATCATATAGCATTTTACTAGGAATGTGCATTAACATGTTTATCTAATCTACTGTGATCTTGAAATTGGTTCAGCTATTCAGAAAGAAATATGCAGATTTAGTTCTCATTTTCATACTACTTTGCTGCTATAAAGTAAAGCCTTAATTTGGGGAGATATAATATTAGGAATAAAGTTTCTAGTTAATGTTTCCCCTGACTTGCTAGCTTTCTAAATCTAAAGAAATTCTGCTATAAGTGTATCATTGGCACCAACTAATTTGGGATATTTGGAGCGCTGCTTTTTCCACTTTTGTGTGATGGATATTATTGATGCAGTCCAAAAGCATGGGTATATTTTTGCCAGCTAAGAAGCTGAATATTCATTTTCAATCTCTGTAGATCATGGTTAAGTAGATGCAGTTGGCTTGTGGGGTTCAATTCTGGCTGAAATAAATGCATTATTATTTTAGCTATCTAGGTCTGTTTCTCTCTCTCTCTCTCTCTCTCTCTCTGCCTCTCTCTGTCTGTCTCTGTCTGTCTGTCTGTCTCTCTCTGTGTCTCTGTCTGTGTCTCTCTGTTTCTCTCTATCTCTTTCTCTGTCTCTCTGCGTCTCTCTGTCTGTCTCTATCTCTGTGTCTCTGTCTCTCTGTGTGTCTCTCTGTCTCTCTGTGTGTGTCTCTCTCTGTGTCTCTGTCTCTCTCTGTCTGTCTCTTACTCTCTCTCTGTGTCTGTCTCTCTCTTTCTGTCTCTTTCTGTGTGTGTGTCTCTGTCTCTCTCTGTCTCTCTTTCTGTTTCTCTCTCTCTGTGTGTCTCTCTCTCACTCTCACTCTCCTCTCTCTCTGTGTCTCTCTCTCTCTCGGTCTGTGTCTCTCTGTCTCTGTCGCTCTCTGTCTCTCTGTGTCTCTCTCTCTCTCTCTCTGTCTCTCTCTGTCTCTCTTTCTGTTTCTCTCTCTCTGTGTGTCTCTCTCTCACTGTCACTCTCCTCTCTCTCTGTGTCTCTCTCTCTCTCGGTCTGTGTCTCTCTGTCTCTGTCGCTCTCTGTGTGTGCCTCTCTGTCTGTCTCTCTCTGTCTCTCTGTGTCTCTCTCTCTTTCTCTCTGTCTCTCTCTCTTTCTCTGTGTCTCTCTGTCTCTGTCTTTCTCTGTCTGTCTCTCTCTCTCTCTCTCATTCTCTCTGTCTCTCTGTCTGTCTCTGTCTCTTTCTCTCTGTCTCTCTCTGTCTGTCTGTCTGTCTGTGTGTGTGTGTCTCTCTCTGTCTCTTTGTCTCTCTCTCTTTCGCTCTCTCTCTCTCTCTCTCTGCCTGTCTCTTTCTGTCTCTGTCTCTGTCTCTCTCTCTCTGTCTCTCTCTCTCTGTCTCTCTCTCTCTCTCTCTCTCTCTGTGTGTGTGTGTGTGTGTGTGTGTGTGTCTCTCCCTCTCTCTCTCCCTCCCTCTCTTTCCATAGAATTGTCATTGTCTCTGAAAGCCCATGTGGCTGAAGGGACAGATAGTACTGTATCTACCTGGTAAGGCACTTAAGATATTTTGACAGTATGTATTTATAGTTCTGCTAATTAAAACTGTTTATAATTTGCCAATGATGAAGACCTATTTGGGAAATGAAAGATATGTGCCTCTGTTAATTTGTGTATGTGAACACATTGGATCTATGTGAGCAAACATGATAACTACATACAGAATTGACCTTTTCATCCACTCTTTGGAATCCTTCCCTTCCAGAAATAAAACTTGTGAAGGATTATATACAGTACACAGGCGAGAGGTTTTTGCATTTCTTTGCAAACCAAGCCATAATTATTTTAACCAGTCCAAAATCCCGTTAAAAATAAATTGATTTTTCATTCTTTAATTATTCCTTTTTGACTGATGTTTTAGGAGTTAGAACTGTTTAAGAGGAAGAGCATTCATGACTATGGAAAACTGAGCTTGTTGTACTGTGGAATATTGTTTTGGGTAAGAGAGGGCTGCACAATTGCTGCAGCTTAGAGTGGCAAAACTAATAAAACAAGCCATTTCTTCAAGTGGGACAAAAAAAAAGCATCAGAATATGGAATGATGAATGGGAGTATCTACTGAACAATTTGCTGAACAATTAATATTGACAATTGAAAAGAAACCTGCTCTCAACTTTCAAGTAGCAACGTTTTGTTCATAAAGTGATTGTAAAGCCATAAATAAATAAATAATAGGATGATTTGGTAAATAAGCAACATCTCATTCCGTGTTCCACTCCTGCTTTTCTCCCAAAAGAGGAAATGTGCCATTTTACACATTTGTGAGGGAGGGGATACATGGTTTGCTTTCTCATAATGTTTGAGGTTGCTTTCTGCAGTGATCTACATACAACTGTGACTGCGGGTGGTGAAAATTGCTGTGCTTGCTTGACTGTTTCAGGAGCTGGAGCCTTATTTACCTCTAACTAGCCAGGCTGTACGGTTCTGCATCTCAGGAACTACAGTGTTGTTCTGGGTGAGCTCTTTTTGATTCATCACTCTAACATGGCACTGATCACTTTTTAAGCTTGAATTTTTAACATGCTTCTGGATCTCTTTCACTCATGCTTGTTGCTTCCAGGATCTTTAACTAACATTTTCCAGTTTTATTTTCCTGTCGTCATGCAAAGTACACAATGAATACATAATATATGGCTTAAGTATCTCCTCCTCATCCAGTTTTAAATATTGTGTAATTATTGATGACACTTACTTTAAATTTACTTTGCTACTTATGTTGCTAATACAGCTACATAATATTATATGGGTTATGTGATAGAATTGCACTGGGAAGCTTTACATGAATGTGCATGGCACGTTTAAAATTAATTAAAAAATAAATATTACAGATCCATTAGGACTACATGTCCTTAGCACAAAGATGAAGAACTGCATGCTTAATTCTCCTCTGAATAAAAAGGAGAAGATAACAGAAAGATTTTTTTAAAAAACTTAAAACTAAAAGAAAAAACAAGTGATCTACTTCCATTGTGGAGGTGGACATATGCACTGGAAAAATATTCAGATAAAGTTTTCTTCTACTTATATTCTGCAGTCTTGATAGAACTTTCTAAAATTTTATTCACAATGTGCAGTTTGCATGAAACATTAATTTCTTTGGTTTCAAATCCTAAGTAGTCTAATTTATGTGGTTATCTCAGATCTCTTTAATCATAGCAAGCATGATAGCTGTGATAGTTTACCGCCTTGCAGTCTATGCTGCTTTTGCCGGCATCATGGAGAACACAGAAACCCTGCAACCCATTCGAGGTTTGTTGACACCACAACTGGCAACGTCAGTCACGGCATCATTCCTCAATTTTATCATCATTATGATACTGAATTTCCTATATGAGAGGATAGCCATCTGGATCACAGATATGGGTAGGTATGTTGCATGATGGCTAAGCTTACACCCTCTGTACATTTTTTGCCCCTCTGCTACATAGGCTGAAATCATCAGCACATGAAAATAGAACTTGCAGAACCTTTTCTGTCAGCCTAAAATTCTTTGGAGTTCTTGCTTTATGTCAGGTATCCCCAGCCTTGGGTCCTATTAGCCTTGCTTTCAGAGAATGATGGAATTTATAATCCAACTTATCTGGAGAATGGCAGTTTGAGGAAGGCTACTTTATCTCTTATGGCTTCTTTGCCCTTAGATGATCTGACTTGCATTCCAGCTGTGTGATTGCTAATTCTTAGCTTGTACCTTCCTAAGAGCTGTGGGGTCAACAGTGTTAATAATAATTTTATCTGACTGCAAATGGAGCTCTCAGGAGGTTACTTGGGCAAAATTGCTTCTGTTTTCTCGTGATTACAATATCTGTCTCTTGACAAAAGGCAAGGAAGTTCTTCATGAAATGTCTCTCAAATATTATTTTGCTTGAATAAACGAGAGCTTTGTTTATATTTATATTGTGTATAAAAGAAACAGGATACAACTATTTACTTCCACAAATTGATTCTATGTTAGTTAAATCACCTAGGAATGACATCAACTTTGTTTCCTTGTTCTGTACACGTTACACTCTGTGGGCAAAAGATAATTTATTTTATTTATTAAGCAAATTTATATGGCCACCCAACTCATACATGGTGACTCTAAGTAGATTCATAGCTCTACAAATGCTCTCTTAGATAAATAATCTTTGTAATATTGAAGCCTATTGTCATATTCCAGAGGCTTCGTAAACGTTGATGCTCTACATCAGGGGTGTCAAACTGCCGGCCCGCGTGTCAGAAGCGTCATGCAGAACCCGTGCCCACCCCATTGCCGGCAATGGCAAAACCGTCCTGATACGTTGCGCGACGTCATATGATATCGCGAGTTTGACATGTCTGCTCTATATGATATAAAGAGAATTAAATCGTTTATTTTATCTTGCAGAAATACCAAGAACCCACTATGAATATGAAAACAGACTTACTATGAAGATGTTCCTCTTTCAGTTTGTCAACTACTACTCTTCGTGCTTCTATGTAGCTTTTTTCAAAGGGAAATTTGTAGGATACCCTGGTTCTTATACATACATGTTCAGTCGCTGGAGGAATGAAGAGGTATGTAATAACTTTCAAAATGAATTTTGAGGAAAAATTGCCCATCATTCTAAATACCTTGCTTTGAAGTATAGAAAACTAAACATAATGAAAAAAATAATTTTTTGAAGGGGGAAAGTTCACAGATTTATAAGATATTTACTAAAACTGAAAAAGAGAAGCTATTGAGTATATTTCTGAAGTTATATCTTGAGGGTAGAAGGCGAATAGACCTTATGTTATTTTTTTTCTATAAATTCAACACGATGCAGAAATTTTAAAGGCAACATCTGCAAGGCTGACAGAACATTTTGGGAACAAGTTTCTTTCCCGAATTAGAAATCTGCATTAATGAGGACAAGAATAGGAGCTCAGAAGATTTGCATGGGGAAGAAAACTAAAAGATAAAATAGGCAAAGTACAGTGAAGGCAGAAATGGAAAATTATCTGTACATACAACCAAATAGACAAACAAATATAACACATGTTTGTGTATGTGTTATTGGTGTAGCATGTGTACCCCTTGACCTGGCTCTATCGTATTTATATGTCCTCATTTTTGTTTAAAGAACTGCCAAAAGATTTTTTTTTTATGACTACATACAATTAACTAGTGGTGAGGTTAAGGCACATTATGAATGCAGTAGCAAATAGCATCTCCTTGACATGAGTTGTGAAATCTCTCTACTGATAAGTCTTTCTTATTAATTAATTGATTGATTGATTTGATTTGCATAGCCCTCCCATCTCAGCCAATGACTCTGGGCAGTTCACAATCCAGAAACATATATTACAATTAAAATCTTTTAAACATTTCAAAAGAATAAAAACAGTAAAAATCATTGAAAACTAAAAAAAACCCCACAAATATTAAAACATCTAATTCGAATACATTCAAAGCAAGGCATCTGGCCTGTTAACAATATAGCCAGGAGGTTGTGTCTTTGACACATGTATTGTCCCAGGCGCGGGAGCATAGCCAGGTCTTTAAAGCTTTATGGAAGGCTAACATCTAACATTTGATAGCTAAGCCATGGGGAATATTATTCTTCATGTCGTTGAGAGAAGAAAGCAAGCTGCCCACATCTGTTGGTTTTTGAAATAACTCCTGTGTTAGGCATGTTCCCATCACTACTGAGGCATGCCAAACTGCATTTTGTTTGATTTCTTTACCAGTGTGATCCTGCAGGATGCCTGATAGAACTGACCACCCAGCTCACCATTGTCATGGCTGGCAAACAGATCTGGGGTAATATTCAAGAAGCCATAGTCCCGTAAGTAATATCTTAATACTGAGTTATTTGTATACTTAAAAGACAGTCAGAGCTAATTGAATATTTGGTGAATTCTGCCATCTCCTTCAGCTTAAGTTTAATGAATCAATATCAATGCAATCTTTACAGGTATCTTGACGCTACTATATTACATCAGGTTTTCAGATAACAACCCTGGTATATCTTGAGGACAGCTGACACAGCGTTTCTGCTGTTCAGTTCCACTTAGATGTAATCATGGGATTTAGAATGTAACTCTCTCTAACCCAACATGAGAAATTGATAGTAATTTTTATAGCAGGTATATCGGAAAATACTTTACAATTGAAAGAAAAAAACAACCCTGAAAATGCATGTGGTGTCAATTCATAGAATTATATCATTTTGCTACTATAATAGTGATTTCTGGTTTCCCCCCCTTCCCCCTGTTTAGCTGGATTTGTAATTGGTGGGGTCGTCGGAAGGCGAAACACAACCCAGAGAATTTATACAGTCGATGGGAGCAGGACCATGATTTGCAGAGCTTTGGCGCATTGGGTCTCTTCTACGAATACCTAGAAATGGGTAAGCAGAAAAGACCATGGCAAGTAGCATTGTGTAGTGGATAAGGATGACCTGTGAGCTCACTTCTCTTGGCTGAAATGTGGCATGCATTCAGAGCATTTCACATATGCACACACCTTTGGCAGCTTCGACTTATTCTTTGGGTAAAGAGGGGATAAATCTATTCTTTATTGAGTTTTTCTTGTTTATCTATGCAATTTAGTATTTAAATTTAGGTGCTGCCCAACTCAAAATATACGCAAAGTGGCCCTGTATATAGAGGAGAGGTACAGCTGATCTTCGTTTAGCAACTGCCTCCTTTAATTTATAGTTAGGAAAGGGATGAAAAACTAAATTGTGAGCCATCCTTACGTTTACAACCTTTGGAGGTCTGTAAAGCAAAGGAGAGGTGAAGTAAGATCATAAGCCCACTCACGGTTTTAACTTAGTGATCATTTTGCTGAATAACCAAGTTGTCAATCCTAACTGTGGTCTTTAAACGAGGACTACCTCATTTGTACATGAAATGGTTGTGGGATTCCATGGACCTTTGGGGGTTCTAGCAGTGCTGCTCCTTTTTTTTTTCAGAAAATGTTCAGAATTTTTGCCTTGCTGTAGTACTGAGACAGCAATTTCATACTGAATTCTCAGTCTAGGGCAGGGGTCTCCAACCCCCGGTCTGGGGACCAGGACAGGGCCACGGCATGCCAGCATCTGGTCCGCACAAACAAGCAAAGCCCCATCCATGCGATGCAGGCAGCACACAAAACCAGGCACCCTCTGGTCTGCGGAGAAACCTCTCTCCACGGAACCGGTCCCTGGTGCCCAAAAGGTTGGGGACCTCTGGTCTAGGGAGTGGGAGAATTATTCCTAGCAATCCTGATTTCCAAATTGAGAAGAAAAAAATTGTCACACTCATCTTCATGTTTTAAACCGTTTAATATTCTAAAGGAAATTACAGGTAGTCCTTGACGTACAACAGTTCATTTAGTGACCGTTCAAAGTTACAACGGCATTGAAAAAAGTGACTTACGGCTGTTTTTCACGCTTACAACAGTTACAGTGTCCCCAGGGTCACATGATTAAAATTAGGATGTTTGGCAGCTGACTCATATTTATAACGGTCGTAATGTCCTGGGATCATGTGATCATCTTTTATGACCTTCTGACAAGCAATGGGGAAACCAGATTCGCTTAACAACTGTGTTATTAACTTAACGACTGCAGTGATTCACTTAACAATTGTGGCACAGAAGATGGTAAAATGAGGCAAAATTTACTTAACAAATATTTCACTTAGCAACAAAATTTTGGGCTCAGTTGTGATCATAAGTCAAGGACTACCTGTAATACAAAGAGCACTAGCTTTCAAAAAAAAAAAAAGTATTTTAAGGGGAAATGGTGACTAGATATATATACATTAAGAAATAACATTGGAGAAACACTAATTTGTTGTGTGCTACCCAGAGTCACTTCTTGTAAGATAGGTGGCTATATACGTTTGATACAAGATAGAGTGAAAAACAGGAAGACAGATCCGAGGCTCATAAAGCCAACTGGAAGATGCCTACATCTACTCGCCCACAAGGGGATGAATGCTAAGCAGCTACACTTACACTCTGCAGGCTATGAAGTTCTAGGAAGAAAGCTGAAGAACTTAGGGGACAAAATGGGGTTCATCCAATCCACTGAGAGACCTTGGAAAGGGAATTAATATTCAAAATGAATGTCTGGTTCCTGAGTGTTGTTCATGGAAGCGATTTGGTTTCTGTATGGTCTGTATAACATGGATGGTGAACTGCTGGTACATTAACATAGGTTAATAAAATAATAACATCCAATAAAAACTTGTGCACTGCAAGAGTGAGTGGGAGAATAACTAAACTAGGTCTTATTTAAATTACTCAATGAACAATCGGGACACCAACTCATTCATTTCACAGCTCTTTCATTAAAGCTGCCACTGTGAAAATAAATAGTCTGAGTTTGAATTCTAATTACAGGGAGGCAAATACAATTTAATAGGTATAAATGAAATCTGCTGAGATGATTCTCATGCTTTGAAATACAGCAGTTCAAGGATGCAGTTTGTTCAAAGGGAAGATGAGTGTTAAAAAGGAAAGAGAACTTACATTGTACTTTTGCCTGAACATGTATTAAAAAACATGTTAATATGGCTATTGTATTGTGCCTTATTTGTAAGCTATTTAGATGTTGAAAGCAGAAAGCAAAGCATCTGAAATGTAATATAATATTTTTTTTAAAAAAAAAGAGAACCTTTCATGATAAAGAAAAATGTCCTTGATAATGGAATTTTATTTCTCTATTGCCAGGATTGGCCACACAGAGGCACTCAGAGTCAAGAAAACAGGTCTATATAATATATATATATATATTTAGTGAGGATGCAGCAAGAGCAATTAATGACATAAACTCAGGGCAGCTTCAACATTTCTATTTGTTTATGCAGCAGGGTGAATGTTTTCTAAGAGTACAAAATATCCTTCCTTAATCTTTGCCCTCCAAATGTGTGGACATCAACAAGAATTGCTCAGCAGTAGAAATGTTGGCTAGGGAATGAGGTCTAGACATCTGGATGGTACTCACAGGAAACCGGAAACAATGAAAAGAGCAAGGGTTTTAAAATTCTGCCCTAAGGAATTTTACAATGTACAATCTAAAATAATAAACCTAATAAAATGTGAATATGCATATATGACTGGAGAAATAGAACATGTTTCTCCCCATGTAATGGGTTTTGGTTTAGTGGTAAGCAGATGCTCTGGGTAATTATGCTAATGATGTTGCTTTTCATCAAAATGTTATATTTTTCATAGAACAAATATTAAACTTTACGTTGAAATCAAATATAGTATATCTGTCTGAAGTCACTTTAGATGGAGAGTTGGATGGCACATAAATAGAACATAGAACCCACAACTTCTGAAGACAAGCTATTCCATTGGTTGACTACTGTAACTGTTAGGAATTTTCCCTTTAGTTCTATGTTGCTTCTCTTTCTGGTTAGTTTCCAGCCATTGTTTCTTGCCTTGTCTTTTGATGTTTTGGAAAATAGTTTGAACCCCCCCCCCTCATCTTTATAGGAGCCCTTTGAATATTGGAATACTGCTATTATGTCTCCCCTAGTCCTTCTTTTCATTAGACTAGATCATACCCAATTCCTGTATTCGTTCTTCACATGTTTTAGCCTCCAGCCCCTAATCATTCTTGTTGCTAATTTAATCTAATCTAATCTAATTGATTAAATAAATAAATACAAATTTCAATCTATAGTACATAAGTTTTAAGTTCCAATCAGTATACATTTCATTCATAAATAACTATTGCTAACTTAACTTCATCTATTTTAGTGCATACATATTTTCTGGAGCTTTAAAAAGCATTTCACCATTAAATAGGATACTTTGAAGGTGGAATACTTTGATGAGGTCAGAACAGTGGGCCCTACTTCGAGATCAAAATGTTTTGCACATCTCAAATAATTGCTTTTCATATAGGAATATAAACCTGTTGATTATTCATGAATGTTCCTAATGGTATTAAGTATATGATTCTCAAATATAACTTTTCATAGGTTTCATTCAATTGTTTATCTGCTGTTTTCTACCCATATAGTTATTCAGTTCGGATTTATTACTCTGTTTGTGGCCTCTTTTCCTTTGGCACCCCTGCTTGCTCTGATGAACAACATCTTGGAGATTAGAGTTGATTCTTGGAAACTTACAACCCAGTTTCGAAGGCCTGTGGCAGCCAAAGCTCATAGCATAGGAATTTGGCAAGAAATCTTAAACGGGATGGCTATCTTGTCTGTTGTCACAAACGTAAGTAAACAAAGCCAAACAATAGCCAAAACTATTAATAAGAGCACTTGGAACAATTAGAACAATTAGATCTTAAAAAGTGTCCTTATTAATTTCTTATTTTAATAATTTCTTGTTCTAGTTCTAAAAAGTGATTAACCCTGAGATAAGCAATCTGTGGCTTTTCTGATGCTATTGGTCCAGTATAAGTACTTCCCTGAGAAAAGGCGAAGTAGGAGTTGATGCCTGACACCCCCAAGGTCACAGGCTTCAGTTCTTGGACTAATGACCATATTCCATCAAAATCAGGTTTCCTTACACAGAAACAAATCTAAATCACGAGGTTTACATCTAGATAAATTTAACTTCAACTACATTTTATTTATTCATGAATGAATCATATCTCATTATTTTTTGCTTCAGTTAGAAAAGAAGTTCTAAGCTCTTGCTTCTGTTTTTAATGACTCAGAAATATTATCACAGATTGAATCAGCTTGTATCCACTTTTATGTTCAGTTAGGCGCTCAGGGAAATAACAGAAGTAAAATACCAAGACCCAAAGTTAAAATTAATACTAACACTGCTAGCAAACAAGAGTTAAGTTATCTCTCCAACCGATGTAAAAATCACTTGAGGACAGAGCTCATCAGTCTCCTACTCTAATGTCCTTGAAGCTGGAAACAAACTTTTGTGTTTTCTTAGGCTTTTAAAATTAAATTGGATTTATTTTATGCTTGTGAAGTTATTGTTTTTATTTTGTACCTGGTGTGATTATTTTAGGTCACTAATACTAAGTATGAGTACATGGGGACAAAATCTGTTAAAACTTTAATGCCACTAGTTTGGGCCACTTTGAGAGATTAACATAGACATGACATGCAGTATATCTAATTGTAAACCAATTTATCTTTTGTCACCCAGTAGTTAATCAGCATGCATAGAACATACAAAGATATATCTAAACTGACATAAATAACCAATTGTTTCCTGCAGGCGTTTATTGTAGCCTTCACATCTGATATGATTCCTCGATTGGTATACTATTATGCCTATTTTGCGGATCCTGACTTACCTATGTCTGGATACATTAATAATAGCCTTTCAGTATTCCAAATCTCAGATTTTCCTGAAAAAAACAAACCTGAACAGAACCCAAGCAGATTTACCAGTTGCAGGTTAGTTGTAATTTGTCCATTTTATGTTTTATACTAATATAGTCATAATAATAATTATACATTTTGTAATATTAGCTGTGATTTTATGATCTTTATACATATATTCTGTTGACATCTTTATGAGCTATTTAGGCATCAGTTGTGTGACAGTGGAGATGATTGCAGACAAGATGCATTTATAGTAATTAATATAAAAAATATCAATTATAGAAATAGGGAAATGTAGTTATTTGAATCTTTAACTTAATTCATTTGTAATGCTAAGACACAGCTTGCTCCACTTAATTATCTGAATTCATCTCAGATAACAGACTTTGTTTGCAAACCACAGAATTTGAACTTAGTTTAGAAACCATGATTTATGTTAAGCAATCTTGAACTCAAGAACTGGTTTACTTTTGTCTTGAATTTGTAACTCATTTGAGTCTTTGTCAGCCAGATAAGAAATATAGCTTTAAAAGTTACATCTCCTCAAGCTAAACTCTAGAATTTGTTGTTTTTCTTCCTCCAGAAGTCAAAACAACATATTTGCTCTCATAAACTACAACAAAATACCTAGAGTTGCTATATCCCCAATTAAGAAAATTACTGTATTTTAAAAACACTATACTTTTAAAAATTACACCATATTTTAAAAATTTCTCACAAAGGAATAACAACCCCTTCCTCAAATCTAAAAATTGCCTAGTGCAGGTTTCTTCTACAGACACCCCACTCATTAGTAAATAAAAAGCACACAACCATCAATTACGAAAAGCATACAAATCAATTCTTTACTATTGCTCTCTTCCCCTTCTCTTTCTCTGCCAAACAAGTTTGCTGAACTGCCATATTGATTTTAGCTTATACCATTAACTAGACTAGAGTCAAATAAAATCTCCATCTTTTTGTAGTAAAGTACAGAAAATTTAAGGAATTGAATTATGCATTCCTATTCCCCATGCATTTTGATACGGACGTGCTTTTTAGTGGGAACACCTTGATTATCCTTTGTACCATTTCAAGGTGCTCTAAGAAGAAATGTGCATGGATCAGCATGGATGGGTGTTGCACAGTGCATTTTTCCAGAGCCTAAGTAAAGATTTTTAAGCACAGCTATTCCCCTGTGGCCTGAGTTTCCTTTCTCTCCAGCATTCTTGTGCAACAGATGCCTCATTATGTGTGGCAGAATAGCCTTTCAGTAGTTATACGATTTTCCATGTTTTTTCCCATGAATTTTAGTGCAACATGAAAGGGTTGCCATATTTGTGGTACAGCTTTCTACTGACCGCCTTCTCTATTTCTTTGCTGGTCATACATTTGTCCTGTGCGATACATTTGATTGACTTTTAGCCATTTTTTTTCTTTTCAGTTTGTACTGTACAACCTATTACTACTCATCTTGTATTCTATTTTTCATTTATGCCACACCATGTTTCCTACTATGCTATCCAAGCTTCACCTCATGATCACTTTTAATAAGTGTATTTTTTTGCCTGGTAAATATATTCTCACATTTGGCTTTTGCTATGCCTGAACAAATGAGAAACATTTGTCAGATTTTGTACTGAAGAAAAAAATATTAAAATCGGGGATCAAAAGCCCTCATAACTGACAGCTTTATATGAACATAAATGCTACAGCAGTTGTAAACTTCCATGTTTCAAGGTAGCCCCTCACCTTTAGATGTTTATATTCAACAGGTACAGGGATTATCGATATCCACCAGACCATGAGAAGCAGTACATGCACACAATGCAATTCTGGCACATCCTGGCTGCAAAAATGGCTTTTATAATTATTATGGAGGTAAAATGATTGTTATAATTATTATTAAGTTCTTCTGCTCCTCTCCTAAAATTAATATGCGAGAGCATCAATTTGGAGTTAAAGTGAAAGGTAGTGGGGTGTGTGTGTGTGTGTGTATGCATGTATATATTGCGTTATATATGAAAGTAATTAGAGCTCTTGCTGGTATACATTTTTTAAAAAAATGTTATGAAAGTAGCATTTAAAAATTGCAACAAATATGATTGTTGAATAAAATTTTCTTTTATTCAAACCATATCTGAAATAATGTTATGAAAGTAGCATTTAAAAATTGCAACAAATATGATTGTTGAATAAAATTTTCTTTTATTCAAACCATATCTGAAATAAAGGACAACATAGAAATTCTGTTTGGCCTTTGTGCTGATAGGATTTGCATATATCACGTCTAAAAAATGAATGCATTTGAAAACAGGATACATTAATATACTGAGAACTCTCCTATTTTATGATGATAATGGTAAGGAGATGTATTTTTGAAAAAGTAAATAAGGAAGATTTTTCATTTGTGCCCACTTACATTCCTACAAGGAATATTGGACTGAAAGCATTTCTAAGAAACTGGAATAAATTAAAAAAAAATCAGTAGGATTTCAGGCCTAAAGAAGACTATCCTGCTTAATTTTTATTATACAAATAGAAGTTGAGTGGCCTTAGAACCTTTTCTAAGTGGTTAAGAATACTTGGTAAGAAAAGCTCTAATTAATTCTAAAGAAATACTTTGTTTTTTCTTAAGGGAAATTAGATAGAAAAAATTACATTTTTTGCTTTGCTCCTCTTAACAATTTTGGCTGTTTATATAATAAGTGAATTAAATCCTGCTGCAACTTGATCCTTAATTATGAAGTAATTAGTTACTTCAAACTGCCCAGAGTTATGAATGGCTGACTATAAAATATGGAAATTATAAGTCAATAAATTACAAAAATAAAATCTCATTTTTATTTCTTGTTTATTAGTACTTACTTCTTACTAATTATTCCTAAATTATATACTATTATTTTCTAAGCACCTACAAAAGCTAGGTCTGTAATGGATTTTGCGGCCTTCCAACTCCAAAAACACCCTGGGTGGTTTACAATATTTAAAATACTTAATTTAAGGAATAAGACATCCTGGACAAAACATCTTAAATAAAATAATAAAAAAACCCTCAATAGGGCCTCACAAAACCTCTAATCCCAGGCTTGAGAACAGAGATTTTAAAGAAACTTTCAGAATACTTGCAGAATGGGATCCATACATATATTGGGGCTGGGATTTGGGGTTTTTTTCCAGAGTGCTGGGGCTATAATAGAGAGGGCATATTTTCTTGGTCCCACAAGATGATAATGTTTAATGGAGAGAGCCTGGTGTGCACTCAAGCTGCCCAAATATTCTAGACAGAAGGAAATAATTGGAGTTAGGTGGTCCCTCAAATAACACGGCATTATTCCATGAAGGGCTTTATAGGCGATTACCTGCACCCTGAATTGCAGTCAGAAGATGACTGGTAATTAGTGCAACTTGTGCAGCAGCAATGATGTATGAAGCAAACAAGAACCTGCATGTGTATATGTATGAATAGTAGGAAAGTAGGTAAATAAGTAAATTACTTTAATGGTTAAAGGTACTAGACTAATGTCTATGGAGATTCTCAGTCATCCAGGTCATGGTTGTCCCAAAGGTGCTTTTTCAAGAGGCAATTGGATTTCCTTGTTTTTCTTTGAAGACATTTTGCTTCTCATCTAAGAAGCTTCTTCAGCTCTGACTGGATGGTGGGGAATGGAAGGATTTATACTCCTTGCAGACAGCTAGTCATTTGCATTGTTTTTAGAGAGTCATTGAGGCCACTTGGGGGTTTATCTGTGTCCTCAGGGTCATTTGAGTGGTGCAAATGGGTGTGGAGCCTTCTTGGAACTGCTGAAAGGACTGTGTTCCACACTCGTTTGCATTACTCAGGTGACCCTGAGGGCACAGATAAACTCCAAGCCTCAACAACTCTAAAAAAATGCAAATAACCAGCTATCTACACAGAATATAAATCCTTCCATTCCCCCACCATCCAGTCAGAACTGAAGAAACTTCTTGGATGAGAAGTGAAACATCTTCAAAAAAAACCCAGGAAAGTCCAGTTGCCTCTTGAAAAAGCATCTTTGGTACTGGACTAATAATGGGAAGCTAGAGTACTAGTCCTGCCTTAAGCATGGAAGTCAGCCAGATGACTTTGGGCCAGTCATTATATCTCAGCCTTAGGAAGCAGCATGGCAAACAATTTCCAAAAAATGTTGTATGCACACATACACATGTATATATACATGCATACTACAAAATGTTTCAGGTGCTCAATAAATAATAATGTATTTGAAATGAGACTTGTGACAAAAAGTTGCATTTGGAATATTTTTGCACAAAGTGCTAACAATCTAACCATGCAATTTCTGGGCTATCGTGTTTTTCATTGGCATCCTTAGTGGAGGAAGTAAAAAAAAGGACAAAGGAAACAAATATGCCTGATTATGTTTGAATGCAAATACATAAAGGCAGAATTTGCATGATGACATCACTGTGTGTGTCATTTTGGCACCCACAGTTCTATGCCTCCTTTGTTCTGGCTTCTTTCAGCAGCCAGTCAAAGTGTTAAAGTCACCAAACATGTGAACTCTTTTAGAGTCTCCCTCTAATACATGAAACATAGGCATATCTATAACACCGATACCATGCATGCAGATATAGATGCATTGTCCTGCAAGCTCAGGAGTTCTCCTCAGTCTTTTTGCTTTTACACATGATCATTTAATTACATAAAGATTGGTATTTAGACAACTGCATTTGCTCTTAGCATGTGCAACATGGCAATTATCACTTTATTGTTGCATTGAACTTGGACCTCCAAAACTTGTATCTTCTAATTTTGTGAGTCAAGAACTCAGTGAGGAGTGCTTTTAAATGAGAGAGGCCACTTAAGTTTTACTGAGTCAAGGTAAATTGTTATGGCAGTAGGAACTTTCTTTTATTGGTTACTACACCACTTATCCAACCAATTCATTGGTACATTAAAATTGGTACACAAAAGTTGGCAATGATAATATTTGTTTCATGTTTCAGAGGTATTAAACTTCACTTATCCAAGCGCATACTGCAAACATTTAAAACAATGAAGGAGAAGTGATGTCATGTTTCCATAGGCTCTTTTTATGCATTCTTCTCTTTTGTGTTCTCTTCCAGCACGTTGTCTTCATTGTAAAATTCTTTGTGGCCTGGATGATTCCAGATGTCCCATCTGAGGTGAAGGCCAAAATAAAACGTGAGAAGTACTTAACACAGAAAATCTTACACGAGTATGAACTCAATAAACTGAAACAGAAGTTGTTTGAAGGTAGGACCTGTGCCAGCATGGAAAAGGAAGTCATAGCTAGTGAAGGAATAGTGGAGTTATCAGAAGCCATGTAACTTGAAGAGTGACTCTTTGCCTGGAATTCCAGCCTGTGAAAATTTGTTGTCCAGAATCTCCAATGAGCTCTATCCACAGTATGCCTTGAAAGCTGTCTGGTATTTTTAACCCATCTTACTTCCTAAAAATATTTAGGAAAGAGACAATATGGTTTGACTGTTGGGCAGTCAACAGACCTTTCCCCCCCTTTTTTTTTGTTTGGGTTCCTTTAACTTTGAAGGCTTCAGCTTATGACACTGCATTCTCTTTTCCACTGCCTTGTCTTTGTAAGACTATGCTTTCTTGGAGATACTATTATCTTAAGTGCTTTTGTAATGAATAGTTCCCAGATTTCTGTGATGTAAGCAGGAGTTCAAAGTCATAAACTGCCAAGAGTGAAAAGGGCTTGCCCCTGGTTAGGTTTGGGGAGTTGCCAAGAAAGATACAAAGTTCTCCCAACCCAGATTTTTATGAATGCGTGTATAAATCAAATGATAAGGCCAAGAGTCTGATGTGAGGTCTTCCACTTATTGCACAGCCAACCCATGGTGCTAGAGATGGAAAGGAAATTGTATTATTTTATCATTGTCTTGGGATTTTAAAGAACACCACAGATTATGGCAGCCTTTCTCATTTTAATATGCCTGTTCCTAAATTTAAAGTCATACTCAGCCTATTAATAATTGTTAGCTTTGGTGCAATTGAGAGGATTTAGCACAGCAAGTACATATCTATTAGAGAAGCTTTTTTGGAAAGTTTCTTCCAAGAGGTAAATTAAAGATGATGTTAGAAAATGAGATGCCTTGCTCAGTATTAAAGAAGTACTATTCTGTAATGCTCTGCTTGCCCATAGGAGCTATTGTGTTCTTTTTAAGCTTTGGTCTTCATAAGGTAGTCAAGCATTTAATACTTGGAAAATCTTACACATATCATGAATACATTTCTGTTGCACAGATATGCACCTTTAAATGCCTTTTCAAGGTGGACAGTCTATTTGCATGCTTTTAAAGGCTTAAACAATTGAATTACCAATTATTTTTCAATAGGGTACAGTTAGAATTTGATTACTTTGCCTTCTAAATCAAAACTTAAAACCAACATTAATAGGAAATTAGGTTGGAAATTGTTTGATAAAAACCCAAACCACTGAATTGATATGAATTTTTGTCCACTAATAGGCTATTTTAACATACTTAAATGTTAAAATAGTATGTTTTCAAACACCTAAAGAAGGGCTGTCAACAAAGCCATTTTTGTGACTCTGCCTTAAAAGTTGATCTGCTTCTTTGTAAAAAGTATGTATTCTTAGTAATTAAGGAATGAAATATTATGCACATTGTTGTAGTCAGAGTCCCAATGCTAAGAAATCGTGATTGTTTAAATATTGTCAAAGAATGTATCCTTAAAAGGGATGTGTTAAAACGATTTTGCAGATTTATTGTCTTATTTATCAATTTTGTGTGTCTTATGTATGTGAAATTAAGTATAAGCCTTTTACATTTGGTTTTCTTGTTTTGTTATATAATTTTTAAAAATTGTAACTATTTTTGAAAATTCACTACAATTTTATAGCCAAATCTATTTTACCATTGCTTAGTGCCTTGTGTATATTCACTTAAGAAAGAAAGAATGGATGTGAAAATGTTAGTTCTGTTAATCATATAGCATAATGTGATACACAAATCACTTCACAGGTATCATAAGGTTAGCAGTTTTTATACTCAATCATGTCTATCAGTAACTTATCCAAACAGGAGCAAGTTTTGCAAACTTTCAGTTGAGTTAATTCTTTATAATCTAATTGAATTGTAATCAAGGAATACAAACATTACTGGATTTGTCAGTCGAAATGAAGCATGTTGGACATCTTATTTAATGATGATGAAGTATTTGTAGTAATCAGCTGTTAAATATTGAAATGCCAGTCAGCCTGTGAATTAGAATTTTTGTTTCTGATAGTAAAAAAGGTAAAATTATACACTCCAAATACTATGGAAAAAATGTAATGAATGAAAATGTTCTTTTTGATTGATGGAAACAGCATTATTCCCAGATTTATTGCTTACAGTGCTGCCTAAACTGTACGAAATCCAAAAATGACCATGTACAATGATACTGTCTGTCATTTAAATTTTGTTTGCTCAAGTTTTTCTGAATTGAATCATTGTATAGGTTTTGAATAATATTAACAAAGCCTCAGAGCAAAGTAGTATTTGGATTTCAAAACATATTTCAAAATTGGTATCAAATGTGTTGCAGCATCTTCCATATTTTTTCATATGTAAATATAGAAAATCTTTGGACTATGCTGTAACTTGTGTTTAGGATAACCAGCTGCCTAATCCTTACAAAGATTCGATTTCAGTAATCATCATCATCTCATCCAGTATCTTATTTATGCATAGGTCATAGAATCAATGCATAATTTATGGTGTTGGGTATATGTTTGGGAAAATAGTATGACAATAATTATTGTCTTTTGAATTGTACTGAGAACTAACCTTACTATCTTTCACAGATTTTGAATCAACTTTTTATCATCCTTGTTTACCTTTTGTTTCTATTTATGATTAGTTTAATGTGCTAAAGAATACCATTTTAATGCAAAAATGTATGCATGGCTAAGATAAAACTATGTAATGTGAATTTCAGTTTACCAAAGATGCATTGCAATCTACCAAATGTCCATATACAGTATGTAGCCATCACCCACTTTATAACTTCATAATATCACTGGTTCTTTCTTTATGAGTGTTCTTATAAATGGAGAATATGCACTATTTATATCAATGTCATATGTAAGTCCTTGTCACAATACTTTGTAACAGAATGGAGCAAACAGCCAACACTATCCTGGTTTAATGAATTATCATTAAAAGCTCTCTTCATGTTTCAGGTGTGAAACATTTATAGGGTTTGTTTGACTTTTTAATGTGCCATTCTAAATATTTTGTATTACACTGAGTTTTTTTAAGGAATGAGATGCAAAGAAGAATGAAATTGTATGTAATTGTGTCATAACCCACCATATATTGTTATTTCACAAGTTCAGATGATTTTCACAAAAGCAGATGCTTTATTGTTTCTCTGCCCTCTGTCCAGGATCATTGAAAACAGTGGAATGGGTAACCAATGTTTAAAATAAATTTATTCTTAAAATGTTTATTTCATGGCTTGCTGCTGCTGTTTGGGTTATAAGTGTGTCCCAAAGCCAGAGCAGTATCTATATAATGCATCATAATTTTGAACAATTATTTTCCTTGGCTCATTTGAAAAAAAGTAATTGGTTTTTAATTCGCACATAAGTGCTACCACTTTATTCCTTGATCTATATGTTTTTGTCTATGAGTCCCATTATGTTCACTGACAATCACTTTCTTGTGTGTATTGAATTGCAACTAGAGGCATCCGTTGCAGAAGTCTTGACTACAGAAGTTGGCTATATGCTGATTCATTGATTGGCATGAATTTTCCAAACAAGCTTTTTTCAAGAAAAGAATGGGAAGGAGAAGGGACACATCTTAAAAGAGTGAAAAGAGTAAGGTGCCAAATTTAGGGCTACCAGAGCTGAGTTCAAAAATCCAGTTGATTGCATTCTCTTAGTACCAGAATTCAACTTGTTTGTATCTTTCTGCTGCCTTCTAGTGGTCATCCAGATTTATGTAGCCTTAAACATGCATACATAGTACACTTCTGTCAAGTGTCTTTTTGCCAGTTAAATACTTTTTCTCATCTGCTTGCACAATTTTAGGATGGATTGCTATAGACAAATTTCCTACCTCCCATCTAGCGTTTGGTTGTTTTAATGCATACTGTCCCATGGCTCATATAACTTACTGTCCAAATACCATCTTATGATAGGTTGAAAATATGTGTATTTTGTTCTGCAAAGTTAACTTTAAAGTACTGCTTTGCAGTCATCTAATGGTCACTAAGTTTTTTTGTTGCTCAGATAATCCATCTGAATACTAATTGCAATCCTATCCAAACTACGCAAACTGCATTGAGCTCATGTATTACATGCCAAAATTAAGCAGAATACATATGGACATCCTTTGGTGCACGTTGGACCTAATCTTGACCCAGTCATAAATAACACACATAAATCTTTTATAAATTAATGGATCTCTGTTAAAACAATGACTGTAATAATAGCTATTGTTCAATGAGAAAAATGCTACATTTCACAATTCTTATGTGTGAGTAAATTTCAGGTAAAATCCAAATAAAAATACTACCAAGTATTTCATTTTAATGTGGAATGTCCCTTTCCCTGGATAAATAGTATACAGGACATGATGTATATTTGCTTTTTAGCTGAGGAGGTCTGTGTCCTTTCTTCCATATAAAACTTCTAATATATAGGTGGTGTCATAAGGTCTGCAATATAGTCAGTGGGATTTTTTTTTTTGCTATCAGTGGGATTCAAAATGCATGTAATTCAGTAAGTTTTTTGGGGGGGAGGGAGGACATTATCAATTGCAAATAAGTCCAGCTTATTCTGTGATACTGACTGAGAAATTAAATCTACAGTTCTTCACCAATATAGCTCTGGGGCAACATTAGGAAGGGCTTTAGGACAATACCCAGAGTTGAATATTGTGCAGTCATCTTCTAAAAAGGTAGCATTTTGCTTAAATTTTAATCTTTGAAAAAAATCTCCTTATGATAATCCTTCTAGGTAATGAAAAACTAGAGATAAGCTATGTTCAGGTCATTTTCAGAGGAGGTAAACATCAAAATGGCAGCTGCAACTGTCCAAAGACCTGCCCATCTCAATGTGTGTTATACACGTGATTGCGCCTATCATCCAGACTTTGATGGGCAATCCTGTCTATGATTCAGTAATCCTTTCCCCTATTCCTAGTTGACAAGGCATTTCTGCCCATCCTTGCAAAAACAATGAGCCTTTATGATGGCCGGAATTCAAGGAAAAAATTATCTAAAATATCTAGACTAGTGATATCACCAGACTATTGGTCTGATGGCTGTTGGTCAGGGCAGTAAGTATTCAAGACAATACTAATCTACACTTGCATTACTCTGAATGCTGTTCTCCTTCTGGTTCTTTCATTATAGAACAGAAAAATCAATCCATGCCCAAGAGAATAATGAAAGAAAATAGCTAAAACAGGATTTTCTTTGTTTCCCTGCAACTACAGAGGGGAAAAAAATAGTCACTGTGCTTTCATTAATTTATCTGACTGATA